ACGCACACACACATTTGTACACACACACACACACACACATTGGTACACACACACACACACACACATTGGTACACACACACACACACACACATTGGTACACACACACACACACATTGGTACACACACACACACATTGGTACACACACACACACACATTGGTACACACACACACACATTGGTACACACACACACACACATTGGTACACACACACACACACATTGGTACACACACACACACACACAAATGTGTCACAAACACACACACTGACACATAGGTTAATACTCTATACTTTATTGCGACATGAAACAGCACCCATTCACACACAGGTTAATACTCTATACTCTATTGCGACATGAAACAACACCCATTCACACACAGGTTAATACTCTATACTCTATTGCGACATGAAACAACAGCCTTCCTTGTTTTCTCTCCATTCCAGTCTGTTGACATGCCGTGGCCCTTCGGACCTTTCCCTAGTCCTTTCTGAAATGTCTCGCATAATACTTACACTTTTCTATGTGTGGAAAGCAGTACTTAGCTTGTGTACTTGTTTGACTTGTGGATTGGTTGATAAAATTATGTGTGTCTGCTCTACTCGACTGTTTGCTGCTTGGGTTTTGTTGTTGAGAGAAAGCTTTGAGAACTGTACATTATTTGTATATATAGAAATGTACTTAATTTATATCTCAGCACATCAAAGCCAAGGTCTCTTTGCAGAAAGTCAATGTTCCACTGGAAGTCTCTCTGGCTCTGCAGTGTGCTGACTGGGAGAAAAACTTTGTGATGGGTCAGGGTGGGTCAGGGTGTGTTACTTACTGGTAGTAGTTGGGCCAGAGTAGCTCGACTTTTCACCAAAAAAAAATTGGGGGCAGGGTTAGATTCTAAGTGCTTTATAAGACAGTTCTTTTGTTTCTCTTTTATTGTTATTTGTCAACAGTGAAATGTGTTGTTGGATTGTGTGGGTGGCGGATATGTGGGGGAGAGGGGGTGGCTGATGTGTGGGAGGAATAAGTGTGTGTAGATTGAGTACAAGTGTGTGTAGATTGAAGAATACAAGTGTGTGTAGATTGAAGAATACAAGTGTGTG